CAGTCTTGTATATTGCTTTCATCTCTTCTGGAAACTCTTTTATATCCTGAACACTACCATTATTATCTAATATCTTACCTATGATTTTTGGAGTCCAGAGTCCTTTGGATATAAGCATTTCTGCCATCTCACGCTCTACATAAATAAAACTTTCTCCAGTAGTTTCTCTGAACATCAGATTCGATTTATCAGGAAATGGTCCTTCGCTATACCCTGTGCCAACACATTGGGATGTTGATGCGGTTGGCATTGGGGTGATTAACAAAGAGTTTCAAACCCCATATTCTTTGATTCTTTGTTTCAAAGAACTCCAATCAAGTTCTGGACATGGATCACTATCACACATATTATACTGTAAGATACCTTTTGATACAGGTGACCCTTTGTAATTATCATACAGACCATGCTCACATGCTAGATTGCATGATTCATCCAATGCAGCATAGTACATATTTGCAAATATTTTCTTGTTGAGTTCACGTGCTTTTTCATCTTCCCATGAGTATCTGAGTTTTTTATACAATGTTGCCAATCCAATGACACCCACTGCAATAGGTCGGTCACTCTTATTCACTATTTCACACTCTGACAATGGGTAAGATGTTAGATCAATCGATCTATCACATGAGTTTACAAGCAGCCTAACAGAATGTTGTAACTCGGTGAAATTGAATTCATTTTCTGAAGAAATATGGTTAGGTAGAATGACAGCGCGAAGGTTACAAACAGATATATTTTCTGTATGTTCAACAATCTCTGTGCATAGATTTGGTGTTATGATTGGTCCAATATTACCTTGGTTAGATTTTTTATTGGTATTATCGATAAAGAACAAAAACGGTTTACCAGTATCATATTGCATTTTGATTATATCAAAAAATAACTTCCATGCTTTGATCGTTTTCTTGCACTTTAACTCTACCTCACAACGAATATATGCATCATTAAATTTCTGACCATATAATCCATTTAGATCATATCCTAGTAATATCTTCGCATCCATAGGTAAAAAGGTGGTCCAATAATCATCATCTTGAACACGTACTATAAATATATCTGGAATGGCAATACAGTGATTCAGATCTGTTGTACGTAACTCTGGTATCTGTGACTCATGGCGGATTCGTAAAAACTCCTCTACATCACGGTGCCAAATCGCTAAGTTTACCATAATCGCTCCCTTGCATTTGTTACCCTCTGGTCAATGTACTTGGCCGTTTCATTATAAACACGAAGCATTCTACATACACCGGATGAATATCCACTAGATCCTTTAATATAATCACCATTTGCACGGATGTCACTAATGTCGATTCCAATCCCACCACAATTCTTTGATATCAGGGCGATATCTTTTAAACTTTCATATATTC